GTAGATGATGTCACATGTTTTAATGATGTTGTAGGCACTTGAGTGTCTGAAGTTGATAATGCCGATGCTGAAGAGAATATCGACGTTGATGTTTCAATGGCTGCTGTAGATGATGCTACATCTTTTAATGTTATTGTAGGCACTGGAGTGTCTGAAGTTGATGATATCGATATTGAAGATGATATCGACGTTAGTGTTTCGATCGCTGCTGTAGATGATGTTACATCTTCTTTTGGTGTTGCTGTTGTAGGCACTGCAGTGTCTAAAGTTGATAATATCGATATTGAAGATGATATCGACGTTGATGTTTCAATGGCTGCTGTAGATGATGTTACATCTTTTGATGTTGTTGTTGCGACAGGAGTATCTGAACTTGATAATGTCAATGATGAAGCTGATAACGACGTTGATGTTTCAATGGCTGCTGTAGATGATGTTACATCTTTTAATGTTATTGTAGGCACTGGAGTGTCTGAAGTTGATAATATCGATGCTGAAGATGATATCGATGTCAATGTTTCAATGGCTGCTGTAGATGATGTTTCATCTTTTGATGTTGTTTTTGTAAGCACTGGAGTGTCTGAAGTTGATAATGTTGATGTTTCAATGACTGCTATTGATGATGTTACATCTTGTAATGTTGTTGTAGGCACTGGAGTTTTTGAACTTGATAATGATAAATTTGAACTTGAAGATGATATCGACGTTGATGTTTCGATCGCTGCTGGCGATGATGTTACATCTTTTAATGTTGTTGTAGGCACTGCAGTTTCTGAAGTTGATAATATTGACATTGAAGATGATATCGACGTTGATGTTTCTATCGCTGCTGGTGTTGATGCCACATATTTTAATGTTGTAGTAGGCACTGGAGTGTCTGAAATTGACAATATCGATGCTGAAAATGATATCGATGTCGATGTTTCAATGGCTGCTGTTGATGATGTCGCATCTTTGAATGATGTTGTAGGCACTGGAGTGTCTGAACTTGATAATGTCAAGGATAAAGTTGATATCGACGTCGATGTTTCAATGGCTGCTGGTGATGATGTTACAGCTTTTGATATTGTTGCTGTAAGCACTGGAGTGTCTGAACTTGGTAATGTCAATGATGAAGAGAATATCGCCATTGATGCTTCAAAGGCTGCTGTAGATGATGTTATATCTTTTAATGTTGTTGTAGGCACTGGAGTGTCTGAGCTTGATAATGTCAATGATGAACTTGATATCGACGTTGATGTTTGAATGGTTGCTGTAGATGATGCTACATCTTTTGGTGTTGTTGTAGACACTGGACTGTCTGAAGCTGACAATAAAGATGTTAATGACGATGTCGAAATTGATGTTTCAATGGCTGCTGTTGATGATGCCACATCTTTTATTGTTGTAGTAGGCACTGGAGTGTTTGAAGTTGATAATATCGATATTGAAGATGGTATCGACGTTGATGTTTCAATGGCTGCTGTATATGATGTTACATCTTTTGATGTT